TCTAATGGTGACTCTACTTACTTTTTAAGTTTAACATATATTAGTACTATTAATGCCTCTTGGACAATGAAGGAACCCTAAAATACCTTAAATCCATTTACTTCCTCTTCTGACTTATATTGTTGTCATGTATTTTAATTATTTATATATTTTAAACCCTACAGAACCTTATGATTTTTATATATTAATATTTATGTAGATTTATTCAGATATTTATCCTTTCTATTGTTTTACTTTTTTTGTATAAATCAACAATGAGCTACACATTTTTGAAGAAAACTAGACTTAGAGATTATTCAAAAAATGTTCTACTGACTTTTAAAATTTCTACACAAAACAATTACCACATAAGTTTCAGCCATCAGCTATGCCATTGCTTTCATTTGTATGTGTCCTGGCAAACGTGAATCTTCTCTTTACTTTATGGAACCAAGGCACACAGAGCCTGTAACTGGATATCTGCTTCAAAAGTCATGGTATTATAGGGGCTGGCCTGGTGGCACAGTGGTTAATTTCAGGATGCTCCACTTTGGCAGCCCAGGTTCATGGGTTTGGATGCTGGACGTGGACCTATACCACCCATCAAGCCATGCTGTGACGGTGACCCACATATAAAAAGAGGGGAAGATTGACACAGATTTTAGCTCAGGGCCATTCTTCCTCAAGTAAAAAGAGGAGGATTGGCAACAGGTGTTAGCTCAGGGTGAATCTTCCTCACCAAAAAAACAAAAAGAGTGATAGTATTATGATATCTTTTATCATTTATCTTAAAGCTAAAATTATAACTCCATTACATTGTTTGAGATAAGTTTAATGGACAATTCTCTGTCTGCATTTTTTGTTTTTTGTTTTTATTAGACTTATTTTTTAGGGCAGTTTTGGTTCATAGCAAAATTAAGCAGAAAGTACAGAAATTTCCCATACACCCCCCTGCCCCTACACATGTATAGCCTCCCCTATTAACAATATCTTCCACTAGAGTGGTACATATTTTACATTTGAACCTACACTGACACATCATTATCACCCAAAGTCCATAGGATACATTAGAGTTTATTCTTGGTGTTGTACATTCTATGGATTTTGATAAAGTTATAATGATATGTATCCATCATTATAATATCATACAGAGTAGTTTCGCTGCCCTAAAAATTCTCTGTGCTCTGCCTATTTATCCCTTCTTCCTCCCTAACTTCTGGTAACCACTGATCTTTTTACTATCTCCATAGTTTTGCCTTTTCCAGAATGTCATATGGTTGAAATCATACAGTATGTAGCCTTTTCAGACTGGCTTCTTTCACTTAGTAACATGCATTTAAGTTTTCTCCATGTTTTTTCATGTCTTGATAGCTCATTTCTTTTTAGACTTGGTGATATTTCATTGTCTGAAAGTACCACAGTTTTTATCTTTACCTACCCAAGAACTTCTTAGTTGCTTCTGAGTTTTGGGAGTTATGAATAAAGCTGCTGTAAATGTCTGTGTGCAGGTTTTTGTGTGGACTTAAGTTTTCAACTCCTTTGGGTAAATTCCAGAGAGCGTGATTGTTGGATCATATGGTAAGAGTATGTTTAGTTTTGTAAGAAACCTTCAAACTGTCTTCCAAAGTGGCTGTACCATTTTGCATTCCCACCAGTAATGTTGCTTCACATTGTTGCCAGCATTTGGTGATGTTGGTGTTCTGGATTTTGGCCATTCTAGTAGATGTGTTGTGATATCTCATTGTTGGTTTAATTTGCATTTCCCTGATGACATATATGTGGAATATGTTTTCATTTGCTTATTTGCCTTCTGTATATTTTCTTTGGTGAGGTGTCTGTTAAGGTCTTGGCTCATTTTCTAATTGAATTAGAAATGTTTTGTTTTCTTATTGTTGAGTCTTAAGAGTTCTTTGTATATTTTGAATAACAGTCAGTTATCATATATGTCTTTTGCAAATATTTTCTCCCAGTATGTAGCTTCTTTTTATTCTCCTGACAGTGTCTTTTGCAGAGCAGAAATTTTTAATTTTAATGAAGCCCAGCTTATCAATTCTTTCTTTCATGGATTGTGCCTTTGGTGTTGTGTCTCAAAAATCATTGCCAAACCCTGGGTCATCTACATTTTCTCCTATGTTATCTTCTAGGAGTTTTATAGTTTTGTGTTTTACATTTAGGTCTGTGGTCCATTTTGAGTTAATTTTTGTGATTGATGTAAGGTTTGTGTCTAGGTTCATTTTTTTTGCATGTAGGTTTTTCCAGCACCACTGGTTGGAAAGTATCTTTTCTCCATTGTTTTGCCTTTGCTCCTTTATGAAACATCAGTTGACTACATTTATGTGGGTCTATTTCTGAGCTCTCTATTCTGTTCCATTTATCTATTATCTATTCTTTTGCCAATACCATTATCTATTCTTTTCTCTTGATTACTGTAGCTTTATAGTAAGTCTTGAAGTTGGATAGTACCAGTACTCCAACTTTATTCTTCTCCTTCAATACTATGTTGTCTATTCTGGGTCATTTGTCTTTCCATATAAACTTTAGAATTAGTCTTTTGTTATTTATAGAACAACTTGCTGGGATTTTGATTGGGATTGCACTGAATCTGTAGACCAAGTTGGGAAGAACTGACATCTTGATAATATCGAGTCTCCCTATCAATGAACATGGAATATCTCTCTACTTAGTTTCTCTATGATTTCTTTTATCAGAATTTTGTTGTTTCCTCAAATACATCTTGTATATATTTTGTTAGATTTATACTTAAGTAGGTTATTTTTTTGGTGCTAATGTAAATGGCACTGTGTTTTAAATTCCAGTTGTTCATTACTAGTATATAGTAAAGTGATTGACTTTTATATATTAACCTTGTATCCTGCAATCTTGCTATAATCACTTGTTAGTTCCAGGAGTTTTTTTGGTTGATTCTTTTAGATTTTCTTTATAAACAATCATGTGATCTGCAAACAAAGACAGTTTTATTTCTTCCTTCTCAATCTATATACCTTTTATTTCCTTTTCTTATTTTATTGCATTAGTTAGGACTTCCAGTACAATGTTGAAAAGCAGTGGTGAGAAAGAACATCCTTGCCTTATTGCTGGTATTAGTGGGAAAGCTTTGAGTTTCACACCAGTAAATATAATTTTAGCTGTGGGTTTTTTGTAGATATTCTTTATCAAGTTGAGAAAGTTCCCATCTATTGCTAGTTTAGTAAGAGTTTTTA